GTCGATAGAAAATAAAAAAAATAATCAAATAAAATCAAATAAAAAGTGTGAAATGGAAAATAATAAAAGCAAAAAACCCACATTCATATTCTTGGTTCTTTCGGTAAAGTCACAGAGATTAAAAAAAAATGAAACAAAATTTTGATTTTAAAATAATAAATTGAAAATAATAATAAAAGCTTTTATTATTTTCCATTATTTTTTGTATTTTTAAATTGGCAGAATCTACACGCTATATTCTTAGTTCTTTGGGTAAAGTCACGTAGATAGAAAATATAAATAATAAAAGAAAAGTAAAAATTTAAATAATATTTTAAAAAATATTTATTTTATTTTATTGTTTCCCTTCTACGTGACTTTACTGAAAGAACCAATAATATGAATCCCTGCAGTCACGAAAGCTTTAAATCAAAATATAATAATAACAATTCATGATTTTCATTTAATTATTTTCTTTTTATTTTCAAATCTACGTGACTTTACCGAAAGAACCAAGAATATGGCGTGTAGATTATGCCAATTTAAAAAATTACAAATAAAAGTAATTTTATTATTTACGATTTATTTTTTCTTTAATTTATTTCATTATTTTTAAATCTACGTGACTTTACCGAAAGAACCAAGAATATGAATCTGGATTTTTGCTTATTAATTTCAATTTATTATTTAAATTTTTCAATTTGCAGAATCTACACGCCACGTTAGTGGCCAGCAGATGGCAGCATCTACACGCCATAATCTTTGTTCATCTTCTTTGGTTCTTTCAGTAAAGTCACGTAGCATGAGAATAAAATAATAAATTAAAAAATAAAATAACACAATAAAATTCTCACAACGTTTCGGCCACAACACAAGCGGCCTTCATCAGGTGAAGGGACGAGACTGTCTGGAGGACAGCGCTGGAGCGAACAAAGCCAAGCTCAATTCGAGACCTTTAAGCTGTGTGAGAAAAACAAAGCGCCTTGACAAAGGAATTAGAATTGAATTTAGCATTGAAATGGCTGAGTGATTAGCTTGTGACTGGTCACAGATATGGCTATGTTAAAGTCAAAGCATACACATCCACAGAGGCACCCCTTTACAAAGGAATTAGCATAGAATTTAGCATTGAAATAGCTGAGTGATTAGCTTGTGACTGGTCACAGAAATGGCTATGTTAAAGTCAAAGCATACACATTCACAGAGGCACCTAGTAAAAATCAAACAGGAAAATTTAGCATTGAAATAACTGAGTGATTAGCTTGTGACTGGTCACAGAAATGGCTATGTTAAAGTCAAAGCATACACATTCACAGAGGCACCTAGTAAAAATCAAACAGGAAAATTTAGCATTGAAATAACTGAGTGATTAGCTTGTGACTGGTCACAGAAATGGCTATGTTAAAGTCAAAGCCTACACATCTGAGCTATTAATAGTAACTGGGTCAGTGTCTACTTCAAATATTGTTCAGGCTCATGGAGACTTCCAAAGTTATTCGTGATGTTATACATTTGGTTCGTTTTGAGCATAATCGCGACCTTATATAATTATTACGTGATACACACGCTGAATATACGCACACAAACATCGTGTACACGTGTGTCGTGTCCTCTATTGTCCACATAGACGGCTTGTGCTGACGAGAGAACGATCTTAACGTACAATGTCGTGACATGTATCAGCCCTTTGTCGATCCAGCGTTTTGATAGAGGCCTCCCCCACACCATGTCGTTCGTGGGAGTTGTTTAACCATACTTCACCATGCCGGTCAATGCGGGTTTGGTGAAGTGAGGAGGCCCAGAAACTTGTATATGCAGATACGAGTTTGCCTGTGCTTGCATCTGCAGAATTACATTCTCACACATCTTCAAGTGTAGTTTAATACTTCTAAAAATGCATTTATTCTTGAGGATTCCATAAAGTACTGTGGTAAAAAGAAAACAACTTGATTTGAATAAATTTCGATTTACAGCTTTCGTGACTGCAGGGATTCATCTTCTTGGTTCTTTCGGTAAAGTCACGTAGAAGGGAAATAATAAAATAATAAAATAAAACATAATAAAATAAAATTCTCACGACGTGTCGGCCACAACACAAGCAGCCGTCCTCAGGTGAAGAAACAGAACTGTCGGAAAGACAGCGCTCCAATGAACACTGCTAAGCTTGGCAGCGTATTTTAAGCTGGGTGGGAGGAGCAGAGCGCCTTGCCAAAAGAGTTTACATATCAACAGAAGAATTTAGCATTGAAGTAGCTGTGTTAATGTGATAGATTAGCAGGATGGTAAAGTCAGAAATTAGCATGTAACTGGGATATTAGCATGATGTTAATGTGAGGAATTAGCATGTAACTTGTCACGGAAGTAGCTATGTTAAAGTCAGAGTTTATATATCAACAGAGGCATTTAGTATATTGACGCTAAAGAACTGCAACTACCCAACTATCATACAATAAACCGATGTGAAAGAACTAAATATAAACTACATCAATATAATCAATGTACTCAATATATTCTCCACTAAGCTGAGCTACTAACAATAAGTCATTATACATTACACTTCTATGTCGCAAAAATTATTATAATATGCCTCCAAATAATATTTGTATTATAAACTGCCATAGACAGACACCAACATTGAATTATACACTGCGTTACTATACACTACCTTAGATTATAATAATATTAGACTTGTAATATTACACTATGTATTATTTTACCAACCCTACTATACCACACTGCTGTATATTGACTATACAATTACGATACTATATAATACCAAATAAATAATATTAAACATTACACTGAGTACTTTGTTGAACAGGGAATGCTTTGAGCTTGTGGGTTGAATCCATCTGTGTGGAGTTGTGTTATTTCTCCATATGCAAGGTGGGGTCTCTCTGGGTTCCACTCACACAAACATCTCAATGCAATGGGACCTTTCTGAAAATGCAGTACTTAGACTCAATGAAGCTTTCCTGGGTAACTAGTTGACATTGTAATATTAGCATGAGAGATAATGACGTTCACTTATAAGTGCCATTAATAGTACTATACTGTACTTTTAATGAAGACTATTTTACATAGTTTTTTGTAAAAAAGTGTCCATTCTCAAAACTTTTTGAGGTGTCCGTCTGAAGTTCGTCACGCGGACGTCTCGAACGGCTGACTCCCCTCCTGCGTGGACCGCGATGATTTTTGAAGAAGACTGTCTTGCTACCTGAATCCCCCTCCCTTTATCCCACCTACAACAAAGGAATTTCGCCATTTCGCTCCCTTGGCCTCCCGTCCAATCAGGGGCTCGGATTTTCCCGCCCTTTCGATACCCGGATCCCAGCTCGGGTGATGTCGCCGCAGTGATCTCTCCGACGTCCGCTCTCTGTTCTCCCGCTACCAGTCCACTGACCCGTGCTTGTGCGTGCGTGGTTCCACTCGCGGTGGCACGATGGCCCTTGCCGTGACCATGCAACTTTAATATTAGGTCATGGCGCCGCAGTGCATGTCAGCTACAGGGGGAAGATCGCCCAATTTCCCGGCCGCAAGAAACCATGAAGTTCGATCCCATTAGGGACTTCTGGAAAAAAACCTATCGGCCAGGTGACCTCCCCTCCCGGCTCTACGTGGGACGTGTGTGCGTTCGTGCGGGCGGGGGGGGGGGGTGGCGAGGGTGCACCGCGTCGGCGTCGGCATCCCCCGGTGGCGGCTTCACGGTGGTGGGCACGGCCTCGGCAGAGCGGCTCTGCTGCGGCGGCCTCACGACTGTGCAGTGGGCAAAACGCGGACGTCTGAGAAGGCACCGGCCCCGGGAGAGTGGCGGGAAATCCGAGGCATCGGTGACGGCGTCGCGGCTGTGGGCACGGCTCCGCTGGAGCGGCTCTGCTGCGGCGGCACCACACCCTGCTGACTCAGACTGATTCGGGTAATAGTGGCTCGCAGACACACCGGGAATAAATCGTTAGTGATCGATAACAGCCTCGTGTGGTTTCTACGAGTGTGGGGAAAGTGCATGGTGGTGTGTTTGCGCTCGCCGGAACGCGTGTGGTCGGTGCGCGGTGTCACGGTAGAAGACACGCCGCGCCCGAAGGACTCGGCGAGTGAGCGCTTCGTCCTGTGACCCCGGACTCCCGCCCTGCTGCGTGTGGGCTATCACCAATCCCAAATATCCGCCCCTCCAGCCCTTTAAATAAACTCCAATACAACCCCCCAATCGGCTACGCGTGTACGAGTGACGTCCCTGCCCTCTGACCCCCGACCCCCCCGTCCCGCGCGTGCGATTGGTGTGTCGCTCTAAAAAAATGCCCGCCCCGCAGCCCTTTAAACAATCTCCATTGCCCGCCCTCGGCGGCAATGCGTGTGCGAAGGACGTCATTCGCTCTGACCCCTGACCCCCCGTTCAGCTCGTGTGAGTGGTGCGCGGGGTTGTGTGAGCAGAGACGTCGCGTTTGAGTGGCTGAGAAGCGACGGATTGATTCCAGGCAGCCACGTGCCAGCCCCGAGCTATGCCCCACAAACAGGACATGCGGACCCGAGGGGCTGCGGCGTGAGGAGAGGAGCCGGAGAGCGGCAGCCCTCTCACCGCGAGCGAGGAGTCGAGTAGCGGCTGCTCTCACTCGAGCGAGGAGTCCGGAGCCCGCAGCCCTCCCGAGATCAGCCCTCCCCCGGGGGGGGAGCCGGGGGCCCGCGTCCCCCATAACTGACAACCTGTGTACCAACTGGCCGAGCGAGAGTTTGTGTGTATTTGAGCGCAATCGTGCCAGTGTTTAGCTGTACCAGGGAGTTTTATGCAGCAGAGTGTTTCGGTGTAGCAGGGTGTCCGGATTGTGCCGGCACACTACCCTTCTATCCGTAATGTCGTAGGGTGAGCTCCATTAAAAGTTTACTCGGACCCCAACCTGTCAAAGCGCCTAATCTTTGAACGTGGTTCTCAACATCGTCCCTCACCCATGCTATGTACCTATGAGACGTCCTGCTTTTACAAATGTTGATGAACTGGAGGGCAAAGGTCTGGAGGACCCCACATTTTATTCTCATTCTACGTGACTTTACCAAAAGAACCAAAGAAGGTGTATACATGAATTTCGTGGTAGGCAAGTCCGCGGTTGGCAAGGGATTGCTATACAGGCATTATGTACAGAGGTGATGCTTGTCTGTGGTGTGATGGTGTGTCTGCATCCAGGCTAACATTCTCCGAAGCACTAGGAGATGTGATTTGCCGGCATGGTGAGACGGAGCCAACGACTGCCCCTCTGTGTTTGGTGTTGGCACACGCCGTGTTTGCCGGGTCTGGTGCCCACGGGAAGGCAGCTGAGGCCCTGTGCTGCCAAGGCCGAGTGCAGGGAGCTCTTGCCTATGTCCACACCTGTGACTCTTTCAGCATGGGTGAGGTTATGATGCGTGCTTTGTGCGCACGCTACACTGTTCAGCCACATGGATTTTATTTCAGTAGGTGGCAATTTACCTGCTATTTGTGGTGCACTTGTGCAGAAGCATGGTTTTAAAACGTCTACAGTTATATAAACAAGTTAATTAAGTCTTGATTTGAAGCTTTCGTGATTGCAGGAATCCATACTCTTTGGTTCTTTCGGTAAAGTCATATAGGTATAAAATAAAATAAATCACGACGTTTCGATCGCAACACAAGCGGTCGTCCTCAGGCGGAACAAATATAATCCAGCAGTGTAAGTGAATTAAGTGAAGAGCTGTTGCATGGATATATTTTATGATTTGATAAAGATGACTCGCAATTTAGAACCCATGAGTTCAACTCCCGGTTGAGATCAACTTAACTTCCTGGAACGCTCTTCCTTCTGATATTAGGAAGCCACTGGAGCTATGCACTCTTAAATCTAGATTGAAAACTCATTTCTTTAGAACTGCTTTTTGTTTTTAGTTTGTTGTCCTTCTGCCGCACCTCTGATTAGCATGGTTGGCTACATACTCCTTGAAGGAAGTTCAACGTACACAAAAATTCACGGGGGTTGGTAAAATTACTTTAAATTTGCAGGAAGTGAATGGTAGTCCTTCCTACTCTTTGGTTTTTTCGGTAAAGTCACGTAGAAATAAGAAATAATAAATTTACATAATAGCATACGACGTTTCGATTGCAACGCAAGCAGTAATCATCAGTTATAGAAGAGCTAAATTTAAGAGAGAGAGGAAACACAGAACCGCAGATATATATAGACACCTAAGTAGAGGGAGTTAACACAGAGACACAAAGAGACACAACGTACGGAGCACAGAGAGATAGGGTCTCTGTGCCGAGGCCTTAGCATGTAGGGGAGACAAAGAGAGATGGAGAAGCACATCACATCAAACAAGATTTAGTAACATTTGGAAACAATATAATGCAGCACAGAGGGTCGGTCAAAACACAATTAACGCATGGTGTGGCTGATTACGTTATTTCAAAGATTGCTAAATTATAGGTTAAGAGTGATAGAGTACAGATCGCAGACACATATATAGATATCTAAGCAGAGAGAGTTAGCACAGAGACACAGAGAGAGACACACACATGGGACACAGTGAAACAATGCTTCTGTGTCGAAGCTTTAAATAGAGGGAGAGGGGGGGGGGGCGGAGACAGAGAAAAGGGATCCACGCACATGCCGCTGCAGCGTGGTGAGGGGGGGGGGGCACAAACATCAGATTAGCATGCCCACAGGGACTGTGGAGAGAGACAAGACACATACACGTAGACACAAAGGCAGAAACACAGGTAGAGACAACACTGAGACACAAACTTAAGTTAATTGTGACATTTGAGAGAGAGACAAGACACATACACGGAGACACAGAGGCAACGCAAAGACACATACTTGATACCTCCCCATAGAGGTGGTTCAAACTTGATTTGGTGCTTTCGTGACTGCAGGAATTACTCTTTGTTTTTTTTCGGTAAAGTCACGTAGAAATAAGAAATAATAATAACGTAATCAGCCAGACCATGCGTTAATTGTGTTTTGACCGACCCTGTGTGCTGCATTATATTGTTTCCAAATATTACTAAATCTTGTTCGATTTAATGTGCTTCTCCATCTCTCTTTGTCTCCCCTGCATGCTAAGGCCTCGGCACAGAGACCCTATCTCTCTGTGCTCCGTACGTTGTGTGTCTTTGTGTCTCTGTGTTAACTCCCTTTACTTAGGTGTCTGTATATATATCTGCGGTTCTGTGTTTCCTCTCTCTCTTAAATTTAGCTCTTCTATTTTTCGATTTAAAGCTTTCGTGACTGCAATGATTCATCTTCTTTGGTTCTTTCGGTAAAGTCACGTAGAATGAGAATAAAATAATAAATTGATAAAATAAAATAACACAATAATATTCTCACGACGTTTCGGCCACAACACAAGCGGCCTTCATCAGGTGAAGGGACGAGACTGTCTGGTAGGACAGCGCTGGAGTGAAAGAGCCACGTTCAGATCACGGCCTTTAAGCCTCAACTTTAGCACCACGGATAGCTACGGGCCCCGTTCAGACGGACGAGTTCGTCCATGGTCGGAACAGAGGAGGGGGAGAGAGACAGCTGCGAGGCGCTACTCATACTCCATGTTGTAAAACCATACCATTAACCGTGGTGTGAGAGGTATTAAGAGTCAATGCTGGCGAAGGGGCTGCGGTCTGATGATTGCTTGTGTTGCAATCGAAACGTCGTATGCTATTATGTAATTTTATTATTATTTCTTATTTATACCTGACTTTACCGAAAAAAACCAAAGAGCAATTTCTGCAGTCACGAAAGCACCAAATCAAGTTTGAACCACCTCTACGGGGAGGTATCAAGTATGTGTCTTTGCATTGTCTCTGTTTGTGTCTCCGTGTATGTGTCTTGTCTCTCTCAAATGTCACACTTAACTTAAGTTTGTGTCTCAGTGTTGTCTCTACCTGTGTTTCTGCCTTTGTGTCTACGTGTATGTGTCTTGTCTCTCTCCACAGTCCCTGTGGTCATGCTAATCTGATGTTTGTGCCCCCCCCCTCACCACGCTGCAGCGGCATGTGCGTGGCTCCTCTACTTGCTCAGTCCAGTCCATGCTAATTTGTATTCCTTTTCTCTGTCTCCGCCCCCCCCCTATCCCTCTATTTAAGGCTTCGACACAGAAGCATTGTTTCACTGTGTCCCATGTGTGTGTCTCTCTCTGTACGTCTCTCTGCTTAGATGTCTATATATGTGTTTGCGATCTGTACTCTATCACTCTTAACCTATAATTTAGCAATCTTTGAAATAACGTAATCAGCCAGACCATCCGTTGATTGTGTTTTGATAGACCCTCTGTGCTGCATTATATTGCTTCCAAATTTTACTAAATCTTGTTCGATTTTATGTGCTTCTCCATCTCTCTTTGTCTCCCCTACATGCTAAGGCCTCGGCACATAGACCCTATCTCTCTGTGCTCCGTACGTTGTGTCTCTTTGTGTCTCTGTGTTAACTCCCTCTACTTAGTTGTCTGTATATATATATCTGCGGTTCTGTGTTTCCTCTCTCTCTTCAATTTAGCTCTTCTATACCTGATGATGATTGCTTGCGTTGCAATCGAAACGTCGTATGCTATTATGTAATTTTATGATTATTTCTTATTTCCACGTGACTTTACCGAAAAAACCAAAGAGTAATTCCTGCAGTCTCTAAAGCACCAAATCAAGGTAGTCCTTCCTGTTTAAATTCCTTCCCCCATCAGAGGAGTTACAGAATGTCCTTCTGTGGTTCAGGGCCACCAATAAAGATGAGTAAGTGCTTGTGCTTTTTCGAGCGTAGTGACCACTGATATTTGGACTGTTTGGCGGTCAAAGCAAATTAATTAATCAATGCCCCCGTGGCTTTCGCAGAGGACTGCATATACCTGGTTCTCCGCTGTGCCAGCGTGGAACTAGTCCGGGGTCTCACTCAGGGCTGGCGGGGACGGCTCCCCATGCTATCCCTGGGACTGGTAGCCTCAGTCCTGGTGTCTGCCCAGCGGACTTGCTACGCCATGCAGCTCCTGCGTGCCATCTACAGCTGCGGGCCAGGTGAGCTGTACATCACCGCTGCATGATCAGCACAGCATGCACTTAATTAACTACATTTGCAATTGGGACCTATAGAGCCCCTGAAGGACAAATGCATCTCTCCGACAGAGAACACGTAATTACACAGCCACATGGCAATGAATAGCCAGCTGCTTGGCACTGTTAGCAGAGTGCTCAACTTGCATTTGGAAGGTTGGAGGTTAAAATTTAGTTGAGGGCAGACTCAGCTGTTGACTTGTCTGATTTCATTAAATTAAGTACACCAAAATCTTGGCCATCGCGGGTTTTCCCATCGTGGATTTGGCTATTTCCACCACGTTTATTGAGGTACAGTTCACCGTTTGTGCTGCCATGGCTCGACCATTCGCGGCTTTGACCGTGAGATTCCTGTGTCGGGGAGGCTGACCCCCGACTCCCCGCTCATCTGCGATCCACTGCTCTCCGACTCCCCCCCCCCCCCCTCGCTGCGGCCCCTCGAGGCATGATTTAAAGGGCTGTATGAACCACCTCGCGAGTACGCCGCCGTGCCCCTCTCGCACACGCTAACCACGAGCCGCACAGTGGCGATTGCACCCACGCGGGTAAAATACACGCTCGTGCGCAAACACAGGCAACCACAACGAGAAGGCTTACAACACCATGCACCCCTCTCCGCACTCGCAGGGACAACACGACAAGGTTTATTGTCTACTGGCGATTTATTCTCCGATTAACGAAGCTAATCTACCCGTGTCAGTGTGGGCCAGCAGGGCAGGTCTAACCTATCTCCCGGCGGTCTAGGACTCAATATGTCCCATCTCTCCCTACTCACTCTCCCTAAGGGATATTCCCCTTTGTCTTACCTCTCTCCTCCGTACTTACAATCCGATTTCGAGGTGTAGGAAGCCGTGGAAAGGCGAGGCTGCACGTAGCTTTTGCTGGGAACCGGGCTTAGCTGCTCTGCGACTCATCTCACGGACGTTCCAGTAGCAGGGCACGATGACTCCTCCGATCCCTCACTCCAGAAGAACCCGAACAAAAGAGACTTTGCCCTTGACTTCCCTCCCTTTTTATCGTCCCTACATCAAAAATAACGTGCCGCTAATCCGCTGGTCTCTCGTCCAATCCGGAGCCTCGGATTTCCCGCTCTTTGCTAATCGGATTAGTGCTCTCTCCGACGTCCACCCCCTACACACGCTGTGCAAGGGGAGGGCCCCCTGCTTTTCCGCCGCTCGCTACTCCGCCCCACCCCTTACCTGCCTGCTGACCCGTGTCGAGTATCGAGGTGCTCTATCCACGGTGGCTCAGCAACCCCCGTCGTGACCATGTAATTACAACCCAGGTCACGGCGCCGCGGTGCACGTTAGCCTCGGGGAGGTCGCTCAATTCCCTGGTCGCAGGAAACTATGAAGTTCTGTTCCATAAGAGGGCTTCTGGGTGAAAACCTGTCGGCCAGGTGACCTCCCCTCGGGGCTCTATGTGGGGATGTGTGTGTGTGTGTGTTCATGTGGGGGGTGTTGGGGGAAGCGCTGTGACGGAAGCCGGGTGGCTTTGTTGCTGCAGCACCCCCGCCGCAGGCACGGCTCCCACGGAGTGGCTTCGCTGTTGTGGCACCACACCTGTACATTGCGCATCGTAAATAAGTACTATGTAGGTACTCTTAACTGCACTGTGCTCGCAATCCTGCCGCAGAAGAATATACATATTTTCGTTTTCAATCTATAATATTACTGATCATTTACATAAAAAAAATACTTCCTGTTTCATGTTTCGGTTCATGTAGGCGAACATAAAACAAAGGAGGGGGTTTCGTGTTACGAACCGGGAACCAAACCATATTTTTTGAGTTTGCGAATTGTGTTTTTTATGATTGCGGCTATTGTCAGGAACGTAACCCCCACGATGGGCAAGGTTTTGATGTGCTGCTTTGTATAGAGTGAGCATCGGTCATGACATGGATAGACTCTCTCCGACCATAGGAATGTGGAATTTACACCGTTTGTTTAGAGTCACCAAAGGAAATTATTACTCTGCACATATCACTTAAGAAGATTCTGTACGTTTCTGCTGATCCAGAGATAAATATTCGAAATACACCAACAGGGGCAGAGAATGGCTCATTGCACTGGAGAAAAATCAAATGTTAGTCTAGTAAAACCTCTCGAAGCCGAACTCGATTACGGGGCAAGCTGGAAAAGCTGCAAAAATATACATAAACCGGAATACGCTGACCAGGAACACTGTTAGTTCGCTAATTAAGTTGCGCGATAGGACACGACATGCGTATGTGCACACGCAATTCTCTAGATGTAAACACATGAACTTCTCTGTGTTATTTGCTGAAGCCATATGCATGAACTCCACGCACATCCATGCGCTTCGCCAGACTCTTGCGCTATCTCGCTTTCTCATGCTTCCTTACCCTCGCTTGCTCTCCCACTCTATCATATTTTTGTACATTTGTTCTATATTTTTTCAACAATACCTTTTCAAGCCTTGGGGATCAGCTTACTTCTTGTGTTTCAAATGCCACCTTTTATGTTTTCTTCGGTTTAAGAATCAGCATTACAAGTGTGCCTCATGGTAACAGACTCAGATAAAACTATACAATAGTGATGATTGAAGTATTCAATGAAAATTTTTTGAACAAATTTAATTCATCTTCAATTAAGCATTGCCTTTCTGTAGCAAAGAAGCTCGAGTGCCTTGTAGATCTGCGTAGCTAAACTGTAAAGGGCCACCCAAACCAATTTCAGCAACTCGGCAATAAGTGAGACGAAATATTATTCCTTCATCAACCTGCACGGCGAGTGTGAGTGAAGGTCAATCCGCCGCCATGATGCACACTCCTTCACCACGGTCCTCCCCAGCAGCTCTGGATCCACCATCTACAACACGGACTTTGTCTTGCAAATGAAACTGTCGAATTTGAGATAATTAGCTACCATGGTGTGATGGTGAACACACTGTTGTTCCTTCTCCCTGGCATGGCAGCAGAAAATTTTTATCTAAATTCTCCCACTTTTGGCCACTCCTATCTAAAAATGATCTTACCTTTGGTCACCCTGCCGTAAAAAGGTGTACACCACAGTTAGTCGATTGGCCATTTCCGTATTGTTACATGACGTCGGTAAATATAGGCCAAATACTCTGTAGACAGGTTCTCAAGATCTGCCTCGAGTGGAGGTCCCTCCACAAGCAGTGCTGCAAACAATCAATTGCAATGGTGCACCTGTACCTCAACTTACTGTGTTGCTGACACCACCACTCCACGGTTGTTCCTTAGACTGTCTCCGAGAAGCCATCGAGCACGACGCCGTGTGCCCCTCGCCCGGCTGGCGGGGCCTTGCAGAGGAGTGCGAGCGCCACAGCTGCTCTGACCTGGCGACCGCCATCATCGCTGCCGTGGCCCCCATGCCGCTGAGGAGGCTGGACCATGATGAGGGCTGGGCCGAGACTGCAGGGGATGCCCAGCTTCCTAAAGGGCGAGACAACAGCGAGGGACGCTCGCTCATGGAGCACGTGTTTTACTGAGTGACTGTCACCCAGCATAAGCCCCTAAATAAATAAAAATGTTGACACTGGCAGTAGGACTGCCACTTGTCTGGTTTCGACTCAAGACAGTCGAGGTGGCAGGAATTAATATGTACCGATATCTGGTGGAATTCTGTTTAAGTTTATTACAATTTAGTGCACAGTATTGATACACCGAAGGTCCTACGCTGACTGAGAAATATGCCTGTCTGGGTTTGGTCTGTAGAAAATGTGTCAATCCTTTCTGGTTGTGGTCTTTGCAGGCACCACTGTGCATTGGGCATGGTGGCGGTGGTAAGACGCACCTGTGATCCAACAGAATGGGAGCGAGGTTTGTGGGTTGTATGTATGTTGAACTTATTTTTCACCATATGTTGCCAACCGTGCTAATCGGAGGTACATTAAGACATCTGTGTGTGTTATAAATTATAGGTTGAATGGTCTTTAGAAGGCAGAACAGCAAGTGTGGTGGGGCGGGGATTCGGAGCTGGTCTGGGGGAGGGTCTTGTGGAGGTCTGGGGGGGGGGGGGGTGTTCAGGGTGGGTCTGGTGGGGCTCCAAGGTGGGTCCAGGGTGCTCCAGTGGGAGTTCGGGTTTGGTCTAGGTGGGGTCTGGGGTGGGTTTGGGCAGGTCCCAGGGAGGTTTTGGATGGGTCTGCGGGGGTCCGGCATGTGTTTGGGGTTGGTTCGGGTGGGGTCCAGGGGGGTTCAGGGGGTTGGGGGGGTCTGGTATCTGGCCGGGGCAGTCTAGGTTGGGTTGGGCAAGGTCTGGGGTGGGTCCTCGGGGTTCCACGGTGGGTTTGGTGTGGGTCAGCGGTGGGTTAGGGGAGGTCCGGGGTGGGTCCGAGGGGTTTCCTGGGGGGTATCCTGGGTGGGTCTGGTGGGGTCTGGGTTGGTTCCAAGCGGATTCTGGGTAGGTTCTGATTATTTTTTGGGTTGGTCAAGGCTGTCTCCAGTGGTATGGGGTTGGTCCGGAAGGGGTCCAGGGTGGGTTCGTGGGGTATTTGTGCTATCCTCTATAGAGACTGGTAGTGTGCACCATTTGTGCATTTGACTGCGGTGTGATGTTAATTACTTTGCTGTCTTCTTCCTTGATGCTAAGTCAATGTATTTAACATCGCATAAACGTATGTTAAATGTTGCAGATTTTTTTAATGTTTGTATACAGTGAGGGAAAAAAGTATTTGATCCCCTGCTGATTTTGTACGTTTGCCCACTGACAAAGAAATGATCAGTCTATAATTGTAATGGTAGGCAGGTTTATTTGAACAGTGAGAGACAGAATAACAACACCAAAAATCCAGAAAAACGCATGTAAAATGTTTTATAAATTGATTTGCATTTTAATGAGAGAAATATGTATTTGACCCCTCTGCAAAACATGACTTAGTACTTGGTGGCAAAACCCTTGTTGGCAATCACAGAGGTCAGACGTTTCTTGTAGTTGGCCACCAGGTTTGAACACATCTCAGGAGGGATTTTGTCCCACTTCTCTTTGCAGATCTTCTCCAAGTCATTAAGGTTTCGAGGCTGACGTTTGGCAACTAGAACTCCCTCCACAGATTTTCTATGGGATTAAGGTCTGGAGACTGGCTAGGCCACTTCAGGACCTTAATGTGCTTCTTCTTGAGCCACTCCTTTGTTGCCTTGGCCGTGTGTTTTGGGTTATTGTAATGCTGGAATACCCATCCACGACCCATTTTTAATGCCCTGGCTGAGGGAAGGAGGTTCTCACCCAATATTTGACGGTACATGGCCCCGTCCATCGTCCCTTTGATGCGGTGAAGTTGTCCTGTCCCCTTAGCAGAAAAACACCCCCAAATCATAATGTTTCCACCTCCATGTTTGACGGTGGGAATGGTGTTCTTGGGGTCATAGGCAGCATTCCTCCTCCAAACACGGCGAGTTGAGTTGATGCCAAAGAGCTCCATTTTGGTCTCATCTGACCACAACACTTTCACCCAGTTGTCCTCTGAATCATTGGCAAACTTCAGACGGGCATGTATATGTGCTTTCTTGAGCAGGGTGACCTTGCGGGCGCTGCAGGATTCCAGTCCTTCACGGCGTAGTGTGTTACCAATTGTTTTCTTGGTGACTATGGTCCCAGCTGCCTTGAGATCATTGACAAGATCCTCCCGTGTAGTTCTGGGCTCATTCCTCACCGTTCTCATGATCATTGCAACTCCATGAGGTGAATCTTGCATGGAGCCCCAGGCCGAGGGAGATTGACAGTTCTTTTGTGTTCCATTTGCAAATAATCGCACCAACTATTGTCACCTTCTCACCAAGCTGCTTGGCAATGGTCTTGTAGCCCATTCCAGCCTTGTGTAGGTCTACAATCTTGTCCCTGACATCCTTAGAGAGCTCTTTGGTCTTGGCCATGGTGGAGAGTTTGGAATCTGATTTATTGATTGCTTCTGTGGACAGGTGTCTTTTATACAGGTAACAAGCTGAGATTAGGAGCACTCCCTTTAAGAGTGTGCTCCTAATCTCAGCTCGTTACCTGTATAAAAGACACCTGTGAGCCAGAAATCTTTCTGATTGAGAGGGGGTCAAATATTTATTTCCCTCATTAAAATGCAAATCAATTTATAACATTTTTGACATGCGTTTTTCTGGATTTTTTTCTTATCTCGTCTGTTAAAAGCTCTAACAGATAGGTGAAAATCCTCCCCGTAGAGGTTATTAATTCTAGATTTGAAGCTTTCGTGACTGCAAGGTTTCATACTCTTTGGTCACAGCTCATCGAGACGCTGACCTTCCTCAAAAGATGCCGCGACAATATATAAACCCGATCGTCTCAGAGTTGTGTACTCAACACAGATTTTCTGCTGACTTCCACCTGAAGACGGAAGCTTGTGTTGCCTCCGAAACGTCGTGATTTAATTGTTTTCTTTTATTTTATTTTACCTACATGACTTTACCGAATAAAACCAAAGAGTATGAATCCTTGCAGTCACGAAAGCTTAAAATATAGAATTAATAACCTCTACGGGGAGGATTTTCACCTATCTGTTAGAGCTTTTAACAGACAGCGAGATAAGAAGTCACAGCTCATCGAGACGCTGACCTTCCTCAAAAGATCCCACGACTATATAAACCCGATCGTCTCAGAGCTGTGTACTAAACACAGATTTTCTGCTGTGACTATTCCACCTGAAGACGGAAGCTTGTGTTGCCTCCGAAACGTCGTGATTTAATTGTTTTATTTTATTTTACCTACGTGACTTTACCGAATAAAACCAAAGAGTATGAATCCTTGCAGTCACGAAAGCTTCAAATCTAGAATTAATAACTTCTACGGGGAGGATTTTCACCTATCTGTGAGAGCTTTTAACAGACAACGAGATAAGAAGTCACAGCTCATCGAGATGTTGATCTTCCTCAAAAGATGCCGCGACAATATATAAACCCGATCGTCTAGAGCTGTGTACTCAACACAGATTTACTGCTGACTTCCACCTGAAGACGGAAGCTTGTGTTGCCTCCGAAACGTCGTGATTTAATTGTTTTCTTTTATTTTATTTTACCTACATGACTTTACCGAATAAAACCAAAGAGTATGAATCCTTGCAGTCACGAAAGCTTCAAATCTAGAATCCATCTATAGAGTCTACCAGATAAAGCTTGAGTCAACACTTTTCTTTACTTTGTGCCGGTGCACGCCATACACGTCCACCCTGCTCTTCTCCAGAAGCGCCCCAATCGCCCCATCTCTCCCCATGATGTCACCTCTCCCTTTCCTCGTAACATCATCCTGAGACTCTACCCTTGGATCGCGTGAGTATTTCTATCCTCGAATCACGTATCAACACTAGATTACCCCCCTCTGAAGAAAAAGTCGTCCTCGACTAAACACAACCCGTGCAAATACAAGGGATTTGGGGGAACCCTGACAGAAAAAAAACACTTTTGTTGGTCAATAAACAAGCAATTTAGACTCAACCGGAGTCCTGGACATTTGTGTGTGTAGGTGTGGAATGCCTGTGTAGAGTAGTATGACGACGTGACGTCATGAGCGCTGTGAGAAGCAATGACGTCATGTAACGGGATATACTTTAGGGGTACCCCATGACGAAAGAGGGGTCGTTGTGGTATCCCGGGATGGTGAGCGTCTGAAGAAGGTCTCTCCTACTCTTTGGTTTGGTAAAGTCACGTAGGTAGAAAAATAATAGATCACGACGTTTCGATAGCAAAAAAAAAGTATTTTTTTCTTGCTGTGGTTGTCCCACCTGATGACGATTGCTTGTGTTGCGATCGAAACGTCGTGATCTATTTTTCTACCTAGGTGACTTTCCCGAAAGAACCAAAGAGTATGGATTCCTGCAGTCACGAAAGCTTCAAATCAAGGTTTCTCCTGCTCGTGACCGGACGGTGTTGACTGATCCCCTGTCCGGGTTCTACGAGCAGGAGAGCCGAAGATATAGCCAGGGGTAGGGCTCAGAGAAGTATGCAAGAGCCCGCTAAGATTACGTGGGGTGTTGGATGAGCCCCCATTCCGACTCGAGTGAGAGAGCCCAAGAGATAGCCCAGGCTAGGAATAAATAGAGCCTGAGGTCCGCGTGAATAACCGAGTGTAGGGACACCTACCTCTGGTGTGTTTTGTTACCCCTGTGTCAATAAACTGGCGCAAGCCCTTACTAAGAGTTCAGTATACAAGTCGTCCTGCACCACACAACAACTGGTGCCAGAAGTGTCTCCAGCCTTCGCCGCCATGTTAAATGGCGGTGAAGAGGAAGTACCTACCTGTGGTGAGGTTCGACGATGAAGACGGCATGGAGGATGTTCCCGCAACGTCCCCGGAGTCCGGGGCCCCGGAGATGCGCCCCGTGGAGCCAGGCCAACCGGAGCAGGAGAAGGAGGCAGCCGTGGGTGGCTCCTCACCGCTGCCGAACACCTGGCATATCCTCACGAGCCAGCTCAGACAACTTCTACAGTCCGCCGCGCAGCTCGTCGCGATGATGGTCGAGGTGGGAGCCCAGCCGCGTGCACCCGACACTTTTTCAGCGCGGGAACGGCGGATTCCCGCCATTGCGCCTCCTGCCTCGTTCGTATTTAGTGCCAATTCTATAATGGACACGACTCCGGAGTTGGGTGCCATTGTTCCGCGGGATTCGACGCAGCATTCAGGCACCATTTTGTCAGCGACACCGCAACCGGGTGCCATTTTCTCTGTGTCTCCGCAACCGGGCACCATTTTTTCCACGACTCCGCAACCGGCTGCCATTACCGATGTGACTCGGCAACCCGGCGTTGCTATGGCTCCTGCAGCGGCGTGGGTGCGCCCTCACCCGTAATTACGTCTGGCGGCCATAAACTCCGTCGCTTGCCTCCCGTACGCCCGTTCATTGCGACAGGCAGCGATAGGATGGCTTTCCAGGACCGATTTGATGCAGCGTAATTTTCAGTAGGGTGGCCCATGGACGAGGCTCTCAAAGTGCTCCCCACAGCACTGGATGACAGAGCTTTAGTGGCGTTTAAATCCA